AAGCAAAACAGTAGCCAAAAGCTAAAATAAATAAAGGTAGCTAAAGGTTATAAGAAGCAAAACAGTAGCCAAAAGCTAAAATAAATTATGGTAGCTGAAGGCTACAAGAAGCAAAACACTAGCCAAAAGCTAAAATAAATTACGGTAGCTGAAGGCTACAAGAAGCAAAACAGTAGCCAAAAGCTAAAATAAATTATGGTAGCTGAAGGCTACAAGAAGCAAAACAGTAGCCAAAAGCTAAAATAAATAAAGGTAGCTAAAGGCTACAAGAAGCAAAACACTAGCCAAAAGCTAAAATAAATTATGGTAGCTGAAGGCTACAAGAAGCAAAACAGTAGCCAAAAGCTAAAATAAATTATGGTAGCTGAAGGCTACAAGAAGCAAAACAGTAGCCAAAAGCTAAAGGCAGAATAAGATCAAGCAAGCTGAGAAGGGACATTTGTTTTGAGGGAACTGAAGCGGTTTTAATGTGAGTTTTATTTTGAATAAAGTCAGAAAAGTTTGATGAGCTCCTGAATGAGCTGAACGTTTGATGAAGGAAAGGCTGAAACCGCAGATCGTAGTTTGATTGAAAATGTCTGGCTCAGACTCATTCATCACAGAGAACTTCCTGTTTCACCCCGGCCCTGCTCCGGTCCTCACATCATGACCTTGGCCTCCTCGATGAAGTCCTCCTCGTACATGGCCCCCTCTCTGATGGCCTTGATGGCCACTCTCTGCTGATCCCTCCATTTGCCGAACTTGACGACCCCGAACTGCCCGGAGCCGACCTCCTTCATGAAGGTCAGCTCGCTGGGGTTGATCTCCCACTTCTCTGGAGGAAGAGACGTGACAGAATCCTGGAGGTTTTACATCCTAAAACACGTCACTCGTGATGGTGCAGTACTTCAAAATAAATACATTTGACTCCAGTAATTCTGAGTCGGGTCATCTGGACAGTCTGACCAGATGACCCGACTGAGAATTACTGGATTTGGTACCTGGATGATGGAGCATGAACTTTGTTGCTTTGAACACATTTGACAGTTTTCAGTTTACGTTCTCGTCCCTTCAGGTGGTTTCACATTAAAATCATCAACTTCAAACTTTAAATTTGTTCAAATCGATGAGACACGGGGGAACCCTCAGCGCCTTCAGAGAAGTCCAAAGAATTCAGCACATATGAAATGTTACATTTAGAAGTTTAATTTTATATTTACTGGATACATGTGGCTTTCTTTTTTTATTATTGATCTTATTTCTGTAAACAACAGCAGTTGAGCAAGAAATTTTCTTTTATTCATGAAAACAAAGTTATCCAATCAGATCATGTAAATTTTTGTCTCCAGGCAGAAACAGAAGGAGCTTCCGTGGGTTAGGACTTCACGGTCAGGAGAGAAGGCTGAGCTCAGTGAGAGTCTCAGCAGGAGGAGTTTAACAACTGACAGGAAAATTAACCAATCACAGTGTTGATGCAGAGTGGGCGGGACCAACACGCGGGACTTCGGGAAGGCTTTGCAAAGTGGTTTTTTTTTTTGTCCACATGAAGATTTGTGATACATTCAGTTTCAACCTGTAAGTTGAAAATCCACACAGAAAAAAATATATATATATTGTTTCACAAAATAAAAAAATATATATAAATATAATTGCTCTAAAAAAAAGAAATATAAAATGTAAATTTACTTCAGTGTTTCCCCCACCGTTAAACAAGGACGGCGCCCCACCCTGTCAACAGAACCGAGCGCCCTGCCTTCCGAACTGTCCTTCACCCCCCCGGACCCCACCCACCCCCGACCCCCCGGTCGACAACTGACGTAGCGCTGAGCTAGTGGCGCGCAACACAGACAAGCTAGCTACAAAGCTACTTAGCTGACTTAGGGGAAACACTGTTTGATGAAATGTTACGGAAACAGTAACTTCTGTTGGTTGCTGTTAAACTTCAGAGTTAATTATATTACGTCATACTTGAACATAAGAGACGAGCCGCAGGGCCTTCTGGGTAATCTTGGGACAGTGGGTGGACTTTTTCAGGTTCTGTGTTCAGATGAGTTGTTGGTGTTTATGTTCAGGTGGTTGTTGTGACGTAGAAGAAACGACTCCGACAGTCAGATGTGGTGCTTGATGGATGAAAAGAGAAGTACTTCCTGTGTCACTGACTAAAGTGACTCTCTAACAGGAAGTGCTGACTAAAGTAACTCTCTAACAGGAAGTACAACAGGAAGTACTTCCTGCTAGAGTCACTTTAGTCAGCGACTCTCTAACAGGAAGTACTTCCTGACTAAAGTGACCCTCTAACAGGAAGTACTTCCTACAGGAAGTACTTCCAGTTAGAGAGCCGCTGACTAAAGTGACTCTCTAACAGGAAGTACTTACTTCCTGTAACAGGAAGTAAGAGTTAGAGAGTCGCTGACTAAAGTGACTCTGTTGTACTTCCTGTTAAAGAGTCATTTTAGTCAGTGACACAGGAAGTACTTCCTGTTAGTCACTTTAGTCAGTGACTCTAACTTGAAGTACTTCCTGTAACAGGAAGTACTTCCTGTTAGAGAGTCGCTGACTAAAGTGGCGTAATCGAACGAGAACGATGGCGTTCCTCCAAAGTTAGCATCCTTACTGAATGCCTTGCTCTCACAGCCACGGTTCGCCGTTAGACATAATTACCACCCGACACCAAAAGGTGAATAATTAATTTGCCTGCGTCTGTTAGCAAAATATCTCGTGGCCCAGTGGACACAGTTAATGAAACTTTCAGGAGGTTTTCCTTCACTGTGCGTCTCAGAGTTTTCCATGTGATCTAAAATGGTCACCACAAAGGTCTGAAGCAACAATGTCTCCAACGCTGACAGCTTTACAGACACTAAGGTCAGTTTTGGTGTGGTAGTAGCCGAGAGTCGGCTGTTGTCACAAACTGAAGCTCGAAGGTCCTGTGCTTTTGTGTTTACCTGAGCTGAACCCGGCCGTGGCAGGAACACACCTTCCCATCGGTCCGACTGCGTACCGAAGCCTGGTCACCAGACCTGCAGACACACGTCGGACGAATGAGACGTCGATGTTGTTGTTTGTGTTGTTGTTTGTGTTGTTGTTTGTGTTTACCTACCTGCTGCGTTGTGTTCGTGGTAGAGTATAACATCTGGGATGGACGTGAAGGTGTGTTTTTCAGCCAGGTAGAACTGCCCGGCGTCCGTCACTTTAATCTGGTAATGTCGGATTTCTCCGTTTGAACTGCGGTGAAAAATCAACAAAACGTTTGTTGTGTCGGAGTTAAATATTTTGTTTACAGGTGGATGTTTACTGTTTTTATTTGTGAATCACCTTAAAGTCTTGGTGTAAACAGAGACGGTATAAACTCCTTTTTTACTGGACTCCCGAACGACAAATCCACCTTCTCTGTCCTGAAAAACAAAAACAACGATGACTACTTCGACTTCTCGGTACAGGCTGCAGGTTGTTGTTGTTGTTGTTGTTGTTTTTAACCAGAAAAAGGAGACGCTGACGTTAAAACCTTAAACAAACCGTTTCAGAGCAACAGTTTAAACGTGTCAACTTGTTGAACATTCAGGTTTAACATCAAACCTCTTGTCGCAGCAGCTGCTCGGCCTCGGTCCTCGTGACGTTCTTGCAGTACCACCTTCGTCCGGACGAGAGCAGATTAGAAATAATCTTTAATATTCTGAAAATTAAAAGTTCTGCGAGCGAGACTCACGGGTTGGCCTCGATTCGGTTCTTCTCCGTGACGTAGTTACTCGGGATGAAACCTTTGTTCCTGAAGAAACCATGAAATGAAAGTTTAAAAACACTAAATTAATTTGTTCCTGACGGTTGTGACAGTTTCTGTGTTTTCCATACGTTTATTTTTTTATTTATTTAAAATAAAAATCTCCACTGAAATCCATCGTCTCCATCCGTCACATTTTACTCTTTGAAGTCTCCTTCAGCTGCTGCCTCTGTGTCGTTTACTGAAGCTACTTGTGATTTAGCCAACTTTAGCTTTGAGGCGTTTCTCTAGTTTTAGCTACACTTTGCTAGTTTTTGCTGTTAGCTTTTGTATTGCCAAGTTTAGTTTTTGGCTACTGATCGATAATTTTAGTTGGTTTATTTGTACTTTTTTAACTGTTTTGATCATTTTATCATTTCACTGTTAGCTACTGTATAGCTGATTTTAGCTTTAACCACACTTGCTAATTGTAACTTTGATCTACTTTATTGCTAACCTTAGCTTTTAGCTATTACATTGCTCACCTTAGCTTTTAGCTACTGTATTGCTAATCAAGCTTTTAGCTACTGTTTGGCTAAGATTTGCTTTGAGCTACTGTATTGCTAACTATAACATTTAGCTACTATATTGCTAAACTTAGCTTTTAGCTACTGTATTGCTAACCTTAGATTTTAGCTACTGTATTAATAAGCATAGCTTTTAGATACTATATTGCTAACGTTAGCTTTTAGCTATTGTATCGCTAACCTTAACTTTTAGCTACTGTATTGCTAACCTTTGCTTTTAGCTACTGCATTGCTAATTTTAGCATTTAGCTACTGTATTGCTAACCTTAGCTTTTAGCTACTGTATTGCTAAATGAAGCTTTTAGCTACTGTACTGCTAATCAAGCTTTTAGCTACGGTATTGCTATCCTTAGCTTTTAGCTAATGTATTGCTAACCTTAGTTTTTAGCTACTGTATTGCTAATCACAGCTTTCAGCTACTATATTGCTAACCTTAGATTTTAGCTACTGTATTGCCAACTATAGCTTTTAGCTACTATATTGCTAATCTTAGCTTTTAACTGCTGTTTTGCTAACCTTAGATTATAACTACTGTATTGCTAACCTTAACTTTTAGCTACTGTATTTCTAACCTTAGCTTTTAGCTACTGTATTGATAACTATAGCATTTAGCTACTGTATTGCTAACCCTCACTTTTAGCCACTGTATTGCTAAACTTAGCTTTTAGCTATTGTTTATCTGATTTTAGCATTTGCTTGAGCGTACCTCTGCTAGTTTTGTCTTCTTATGCTACCTTTTGTTACATTTTTGAAAATCACAAGATTTAGCTAATGTCTCACAGTTTAACCCTTTAGTTTATTGTTTTGCTATTTCTGTCTTTCATTTTGCTTAATGTAACATTTAGCTGTGGTTTTGATTATTTTAGCTTTCAGCTACAGTTTTGCTAAGTTTCCCTTTAAAGTATAGTTGTGCTAACTTTAGGTTTTAGCTTCTGTTTTACCCATTTTAGGTTTAAGCAACTGTTTAGCTGATTTTGTTTGTTTTAGCTACAGTCGGCATTCACACTGCTTTTTGTATTAAAAGTAATTTCTCTTGTTTGTTCTAAAGATTTTCTTATTTAAAATTTGAAGTATGAAAAATGAACGAGTTCAGAAGGTCTGGCCGCTGCAGGACGGATGTAAAAACGTTGCGGTGCCACTGGACTTGTGAACAGAACCTTCTCCAACATCTGGTGGGTCTGTACGTTCTGCTAAATGATCTGCTTCGTACCCGTGCTTGTCCTGCGCTCTCCACCACAGCTGGTCCTGCTTGTGGAGAATGACGTACTCGTCCCCCTGTGGACACAACAACCGGGTCAGAACACTCAGCTGTCGGGGTTCTGGTGGATTTGTTCTGTCAGAACCTGTTTGAGCGTGAGGTCCGTGTCCTCCTTGGCGGTGAAGTCGTACATGGCCACCACGCTGATCAAGCTGCCTCCTTCTTCGTCCTCGTCCTCCGGAGGCGGCAGGGGGAGCTTCTTCCTGGACCTGTCCACCTTAAAGACACAAAGTTATCCATTTTAATTCGGTGTCGGTAATTCAACTACACAACCTCAGGAGTTTGTAGTTTCTTACCCGACAGGCGTGTCCCGGGTATCGTCTGCTCTGGAAACAAAGAGCGGTGCTGCTCTCCAGCTCCATGCGGGTGCTAATCTCCCTGAAATTAGTCAATTTATCTTTTTTATTTTTAATACAAGTTCCTCGTGCGCTTTAGTTACAACAGCTCGATCACTACTCAGAACACGTCTTCTCTCGCGCCACGAAAACTTTTCACTGTAAACTCATTAGCACCTTTGTTAGCAACTCTGTTAGCATTAGCCTTAAATCCCGCCTAAAGATGTTAGCAAAGAACAGTCTGCTGTAAATGTTTGACTATTATCCCAAAAGTTAAACAAACTATGAAAGTTTAAGTAAAATGTGTTTTGGTTACAAACACATTTCTTAACGTTAAAATGACTTTTCTCCTCGCGGCGCTGTTTAGCTTTAAATTTCATTAGCAACTCTGTTAGCATTAGGCTAAAGACGTTAGCAAAGAACAGTCTGCTGTAAATGTTTGACTATTATCCCAAAAGTTAAACAAACTAAGAAAGTTTAAGTAAAATGTGTTTTGGTTACAAACACATTTCTTAACTTTAAATGACTTTTTTCCTCGAAGGTGCTGTTTAGCTTTAAATTTCATTAGCAACTCTGTTAGCATTAGGCTAAAGACGTTAGCAAAGAACAGTCTGCTGTAAATGTTTGGCTGTCGTTCAAACAGGTAAACAAACTAAGAAAGTTTAAGTAAAATGTGTTTTGGTTACAAACACATTTCCTAATCTAATGTTCTTTACATGAAGTTTGAATAAATAAAACTCAAACAAAAAGCTAACGTGCACATGTAATACCATCATCTCTCCTCTCTACACAAAATATTTAAAACCGTTTAGTTTGCGTTCTTAAACTGTTACATCACTGTTATTGGTTGATTTGTTAATATTCATAGCCAATTTTAATTAAAGGCTGAAAAGACGTCGTCTGATTAAACTTAACGTGAGCATTTAAAGAAGAACACAACAAACAAATAATGAACTGCTGAAATGACACCAACTACATTTTGCTGTTTCAATTTATTTTTAAAGTGGATTCAAATGTTAAAACTAGATTTATTGGGGGATAAATCCTGTGATCACTGAGGACGTAAAGAGAATGATCGTTTGACCTGTGAGGTGAAAATACTGAAATGCTTCGTGAGCTCAGACTCGTTTCCTCAGAGATTTAAGCACCGACGCAGCCTCACTCACTCATACTGAACTATGCAAGTGTTTCACACTTTTACTATTAAAAACAGGCACAACGTCCAAAAATCCATACATTTATAAAAACTTCAAGTGGATGTTAAACTAAAATAATAAGAGGAGATTTATTGTGACTGCAGGGAGGACTGGAAGACTGGAGATATAAAGAAAAACTAGAATTTACTCAATAAAGTGAGTACAAATTCTAGACCAGGGACTGAAAATGAAAAAGCCTGGTCTTGTGAACGTTCAAGTCGGTCACGTTTGGATCTTTACCTGGTTTGAACGGCACAGCAGCAGCAGAACACGGCGCGGGTCGAGTGATCTGATGGAGGAAACAAACCGGGTCATACTGCGGGCCCATGGGAGAGGGTTGCACTGAATCCTTCAATTAATATGTAACGGCCGTGCTTCAGTGCGTTTCTTAAAATAATCCCTTAAAAATGAAGAGTGGGTGAAAACTGAATCGAAACGTACAGAACAAACTAAAGAACGTTTGACTAAATGGGATTTGTGCAATATAAGTAGCAGCATGTGGACCTTTTTGGTTTAGAGGGGTCCTTCATAAAAATCATAAAAATTAATTCAACGTGCATGCGTGACTATGATACAAACGTCAATGCTACTTGATATGCTGCATCAATTTCACTGTATGTGCACAGATAACGGAGCATGGATAACGTGCATCAATACATGAAAAACCTAATTGTGGTAGAACACAAAAACGTGTTTATTTCAATACTTTTTAAAAGGTTTTGGAAAAAAAAAATCGAGCTGGACTTAAAAAGAGCTTCTTGTTTATATGCTGTGACTTTCTTTACATATAAATCAACTTTTGAATGGTAGGAACAAGTGAGAGGCAAATGTATTTTTATTGTTTCAACTCATTTTAATCTCTGAAAATATTTTTGTGACAGAAATGTGTCATTCTACAGTAGATTTAATAGAGTACCATTTTATTGATGAATGACTGTATCATCAGCATATAAATGTATATGTGTTAGTTTTGATCCTAACTTGTGTTTATAAATAGAAAATAAAATGGTAACTAGTACAGAGCCTTGAAGAACACCTGTGAAGCTGGTGTGTAGATTTTTAAACAAAGAAAAAGGAGCATTTTAAACTCAAAAATGAAAAAAAAAAAGATTTAAAGGTTTTATAGTAAATTGTCTAGATGGATCAAAGGCTTTCTAATAGAGTAATAAAGTTTTTTTTTTTAAGTCTGTTTAGTGTTGTTTACATTGTAACAATTCAATAATTTAATAATTGTCCTGAAACCATGTCATTTAGAACTTAAAGTTTTAATTTAGCTAGAAATTTAATAAATGATATAACGTATGTTTTGTAATAAAATGTTTTTTTGTTTTTTTTTACTATTGAAGGTATAAACTATTAATCAAATATAAACAAAAACAACCTCTTATTTTGTAAACAGGGACGTGAAAATTGATGTTCTTGTTACGGAAAATTTCAAAAGTCAGAAATTTAGTAGAATTTTGGGTCTACGCTTGAAAAGTGTGGTTTGAACTGAAAACGTGTTAAATTATTGTAACGGCGTGTTTGTTCTATACAAAGAGAGCAGAAAATAAAAAACGTAAGCGTATTCCCTGCAGCTGATTCAGTTCAACTCTTTCTGTCTTCGTGTTTCTGTGGTTTCAAGCAGGAGGTCTTTTCAGGAAGTGTCTTTTCCTTTTCAGCAGAATTGACTCGGCTGCGAGTCCGTTTGGGTTTCTGTGGGCGAGTCAACAAGCTGGTGTGTGTGTGTGTGTGTGTGCGCGCGCGCGTGTGTGAGTGTGTGTGTGTGTGACAGCAGGCCTTCTGCTCACAGGCACAGAGGGCTACATAACTTCCTGAGTTTGAGAGAACCCCCACTCACCTGCAGAGCTCGCCGTGTGACTCGCCGGCGGCTTCTTAAAGTAAAACGAGTCACCGAGTCGTTTTGCGTTCGCCCCGTCACATGCAACATGGTGCACGGTCCCAGGAGCAGAGCTTTAGTGTTAATGACACGAGTGTTGACCATCTCTGGTGGTGGTTTGTGGTGAACCAACATCTCATTAAGAACTGTGGTGTTTCTGCAGCCTCCGTGCAGCTAAAACCAAAAAACAAGCCGAAGACATGCAGGTCCAAGTCTGAGTGTGTGAGACCAAGTTCCTGTTGAGTCCAGTGGAGACTGATTAACATTCATCTCTAAACCAGAGACAAATCCAGAGTCCTGAAATGATGACAGAATGGGCTCCTCTGAAAGATCCATGGAAATTCCTCGGGGGGGGGGGGGGGGCAGAGCATCGGGTTTACAAAACTTCCAGGCGGGTTGAGATAAGATGTCCTGTCAAGGTCAGTCAGGGAGCTGAATTCAGACAAACACGATTGTTTTGGGGACAGGCAGAACTTTAATGACGTCTACCTTGAGTCTGTCGGTCCACTCGGTTCCAAAACGTCCAAATTAAATGACCACACCAATGAAACGTGCCTGAGAATAATCCCCGGGATCTGATCCCTTCTGCCAAGAGTCTGGGTGCTCGAGGCACGAACCAAGCCATCATAAGGCCGGCAGCCTGACCAGGTCCAGATTTGTTGCAGACGTCCTTGATTGTTCATAGACCAGGAACCAGCTGAATCCAAAAAGCAGGAACCAGTTTTCATAAATCCAGTTATAAATGTGTCTTTAAAATCCACAGATGACAGCAGAGATGGACACGTCATCAAGTCTTCAAAGTCGATGAGATATCCAGCTGTGTGCCAACAGGGCAAATCGTCTCTCCTAAAGCCCGTCTTCACTTCAAAGAAATGTTCTCAACTGTCCTGATGCAGCTCAATGTTCTCAATTGTGTTGAGGGACCAGCTGATCAAATCCAAGTCCATCGTTATGATTCGGAGGATTTGTAGAAGAGAAGCTCTACGGCAGTTTCACAGACGGTACAGAGCAAAAGCAAAGAGGAGAGGGAGAGGAGGAGAGGGAGAGGAGGAGAGGGAGAGGAGGA